CGGGGTGCCGGGCGGGTAGTTGTTTTCTACATTTAGCCCTGCTTTGGGCAAGCAGGGCTAAATGTACAGCGGGGAAGCCGCCGCTTGTTTTGTACAGGTGATCCCAGCAATGTCGCCGAGATCACTTGTATACAGCCTGCAGGTCTGCCATTCTCCATGGGGGTGGGGCGGTTGGTGGGCCCATTGAGAAATCAGCAGAGAGCAGTAAATCCGGCCCTCCTTATCCCCCAATAATTCCTCCATGAATCGCCTTCTTTAGTCACTGATTTGGTAAGGTGGGTGCAGTTGGGAACAAGGGTGAAATCCATAAGTCCTATAAAAAAAAACGTGGGGAGCTCAACCTATTCGCTTCCTAACCATGTAATATCAATATTGGGTGGACTAACCCTTTAAACTTGGAACCCCACAGAAAAAAAAGGTCTAATTACCCCTCCACTGTACTAGCTGGGCGTGTATGTAGATTAGGAGTTTAGCAGTTCTGCTGAAGCTACATGAATATTTGACATATTGAGTGCATACGCTGGATGGATATGCCCTCAATGTAGCCACCTCTATGATGTCTCCTGGCCTGGTCACCTATCCATCCTTCATTAATCTCTGTGTGACAGTCTGGGGTCTCAGGGAACTCCACTCTGTTTGTTTGTAGATCTTTACCTTGGTGACACATTAGTGAAGACAAAGGGTTCACCTCACAGAGAGGAGGGACAGAGGTTACAGGTCCTTGGGGGTCAGAGCAGATAAACAGGCAGAGATTACAAACATGAACGGCGTATCAGTGCACACCCAGAGTCCTCGGTAAGAGCGCCCATTACTCACACAGACAGGTGATAAAGTGCACAGCAACAATGGATCTTCCTGCCGCCAAAGCTGGGTTTACCCTTCTGGTCTGGGTAAGCCTCACAACCTAGAAATGTCCCCCGGAGATCTACCATACACTGCTGGCCATAATGGTACATTCATACAGACAACATCTCCTAAATGGACCATAAATGTTTTCTCCACCATTGCAATACCGGGCTAATGTAGCAGGATGGTGGGTGTTCTGAATATTGGGAATATTTCATGGGGTCCGGGGTCACGCTAGGTACCCAGAGAAGTTTAGCTACACAGCTCTCCTTCGGGACCCAAAAGTTGGGATTGTGCTGGGAGATAAGCAGAACAGCCCCCCATCAACAAGATCCTGTGATAACACTTCTATAATGCTTGTTGCCTATAAAAATAAACAGGCGGGCAGCTTTTGCTTACTACTGTAAGAGAAGGACAATAAAAAGGACCGATCAATAAGTGTCACCAAGCTGTAGAAAGGTCACTCACAGCCCAGGGACAGTCAGCAGAAGACTGCAGTGACCTCTGACCCCTTCTGTGCTGATTGATTGCATGACGCCATAATGCCTTGTTCAGAATCTGCCCGATCTTCAGCAGGAAACTAGACTAGGAAGGAAATGACAATCGAAGGGGGCCTGTCCCAGAGCCCCAGTGAAGGTGTAGGAACCTAGTCAGCAGAAAGCCTTTCCAGAGGAGTGAAGGATGATATAGCTATAAATTGCGGCCAACT